CCCCCGGCCTGGTCTCCGCGCGCGGGCAGCGCTGCAAGAGGGAGCGCTCGGGGCAGGTCGGACCGGGCACCTGTGCTATGATTTGGTGTTTCTGGCTTGTCTCCCTCAGCCGGTTCTCCAGCATCTTTGCTGAAGGTAAGGGGTGCGCGGCGTGCCCCCGGCTCTCTGCCCCAGGGCCTGACCCAGAGCCCCGAGTACCACCGGTGCTTCCCGCGTGCCCTGGGTCAGGCAGGGGCTAGAGAGGAGTGATGCATGGGCTGCTGGGGTTGTGGGCAGAGCAGTGAGGGGATCAGAGGTGGAAAAAGTCAATGCTCCCAAGGCTGTCCTATGCTAGAGGGGGTGTCCTATGCACAGCTGTGCAGCCCGTGACCTCCCTGAGCTGCCAGGGCTGACTTTCCCCTTGCTACAGGGGAGCACTCTACATCTTGTTGTGGCACGTGAGCAGCTTGGGGGTGCGATTCCTGCCCTGGTGCTCCAGGAAGGACCCTGCAGGGCTTTGAGGGGGGGGCACTCACTTCTCTGTGCTGATGGGCACAGGGGCCAAGACAAGGTTTCTGAGCAGGTCTCCTGCTGTCCCCCAACCTGGCACAGCTCCTTTCCTGCCCCTACCCTCCTGGCGCTCCAGGGCTGCTGGGAGGTTGGGTGCACCAGCGAGTGCAGCACAGGTCTGAAAGGGGGCCTGGGTTCTGCTCAGGGCAAGAGGCTGAGACCGGCGGGGTGGCCTTGGAGAACCATTTCTGCAGAGGGCAATGATGGCTGTGGCTGTTCTCTCTGTCCTGGGCATGGTGGTGGGGGCCAGACAGTGCTGCTGGTGTCAGGCACATGCTGGCAGGCCAGGACAGGCAGTGCTATGTGTCCTGCTGTGCTCTAACCAGTACTTTCTCCTGGCTCTGTGTGGCTTCCTCACATGGCAGCAGAATGGGGGCAAGATGCTCTGGGGGGGGGTTCCCTACATGTGGCTTTGTGCCCTTCCTTGCTCCCACCATGCAAGGCAGAGGAGAGGGCAGTGGCTGTGAGGGGCCCTGCCACCCTGCATAATGGCTTGGCTGGGGTCTGACTGCGTGGCCTCTCACTGGGGTGCCTGCAAGAGCAGCTGAGAGCAGGGCTTGGGTGACAACACAGCAGCTGTTCTTGTTACGCCTGAGCCCCAGGCATCGCTGTGGCTTTCCCAGGGAGCCTGGGGGCCCAATCCGGCTAAAACTTTCCTGTGGTGGCTCCTGCAGGCAACGGCAACAGCAGCACCAAGGGCCAGGCAGAGTCACAGGCTGTGGTTGGGCGCATTGGAGAGAGCGTGATCCTGGGCTGTGACCTCCTGAATGCACATGAGGCACGTCCCCCGCTCTACGTGATCGAGTGGGTCCGCTTTGGCTTCGTCCTTCCCATCTTCATTAAGTTTGGCCTCTATTCGCCACGTGTGGATCCAGAATACGTGGGTAAGTCAGCACCAGCACAGCTGGCGAACAGAGGAACTGGCCAGGAGGGAGGATGGAGCTGTGTGGATGGAGCAAAGGGTGCAGGGAAGTTGCTGGCATCATGCAGCAGTGGGGGGCATGGTAGCCCACCCTGCACCAGGCCCAGGGGTGTTTTCAGCCATTCCCTCTTGTCTCAGCATGCAGGGGCTGGCCTTGACCTCAGGGCGCCAGGCAGTGGCAGGTCCTGGCCAGGCTGGCTCTGGTGTAGCACTCTAACACACTGGTGCCTGCTGCGTGGTCTCCTCCCCTCTCCCTGGCTGGGCCCCAGCCAAGGGCTGCTGCTGTCAGACAGCATTAATCATGCTTCACTGCCCTGGGGAGGTGTGGAGCCACATGGCTAGGCTCTTGCCTTCTGCTGGGCTGGGCTGAGTGCGGCGGGAGAGGCCAGACCAAATTGAATGGTCCAGGCTGTGGCCCCGTTGCTGGCTGGGCAGGGAGCCTGGAGGATTGGGGTGTCTGGTTCCATCCTAGCAGGGCAGGGAAGGGCTGCTTGGCTCTGGCTGTCCAGCCTTCAGTTGAAAAGCAGGGACCCCAATGCTGGGCTGAGGCCCCCTGTTCAGAGGCAAATTGTTCCCAGCTGCCCTGAGTAGAGCAGTGGGGACGGAGCGATGGGGGGGGCCAGCAAGGAACAGGTTGCACACGTCGATAGGCATTGGGGCAGGGTAGAGACAGTACATGCCAGAGGGAGAGGTGCATGTCCCAGCTCTTTGCAGTGTCTGTGCAGCTCTTCAGGACCCCTCTGCACGGGATGGTGTGCATTGGGCATGTGCTGGCATGTCTGAGTTGTAGGTAGCTGCTTTGCACAGGGAAGGGGAGTGCTGCTTGGCCCACCTCTTTTGGCAGTGAGATGCAGCAGGCAGCATCTTCCCTTCCTCAGTGCCCAGACAGTCCCTGGGATGCACATGGCTGTGACTCGGCCCTTGGAGCACATGGCAGCCTGTGCCGGGGAGCAGGGCTCTGTATGGCCCAGAGCACAGGCAGAGCCCTGGGCTGGTGGGACAAGGCAATATGATGCTGTTGGCCTCAGAAGCTGAGCAGGGAGCAGGCGATGGTCCAGGTGCAAGCAGGGCTTGGATGCTCTGTGCTGCAGGGAGGAGCATGGAGGTCTCGAGCCTTGGCTACACGGAGGCCCTTTCTTGCCAGGGTCAGAGGTCAGGCTGATGCTACTCTGGGCTCCCTGTCTCTGTCTAATCCTATAATCCCACCTGTGGGCTGCTGCTCCAGCAGGCTCTTTGTTTGGGCCCAGCTGGGATCCGCTCTGGCTCTTCCCAGGAGGCTGTGGAGCTTGGTGCAGGCATGAGCAACCTGCTGTAGCAGTCGCCCTGTGCTACTCCTTTCACACGGGCCCCTCAGCACACACATTGGCCTTTCCTGAAGCCCATCTGTTGGGTGGCTTCTGCTGGATAGGGCCAGGTCCCACTAGACTCCAGGGCAGAAAGCTGCCCCTCTGTGCCCAAGTGCTGTGATGTGAGGATGAACAGAGCTAGAGTATCATTGAGGGACTCGGCTGGAACCACCAAGGCATCAGTCCTAGTAACACACAGAGCAGGTGGCCCCATGTGCCCACTCCCCATGCCACAAGCCAGCCCCAGGCTGGAGCCTCGTGGCTGGGACATCAGGACATGTACCGTGCTGAGGGAAGCTCTTGCACGTGCATCTGCTGTTGGTGCCAGACCAGGGGCATTTCTGCAGTGAGTGGCAGCACAGAGGATCTGGGAGCCCCCAGGGCAGAGAGACTGGGGGTTTCTGGGTGCTGTCGTCTCAGCCCCGCATGGTCACTTGAAGGTTGAGCTTGGGCAGAGGATTTCAGGGAAGCCGGTAATTGGCAGTACTGGCCTGAGTGGGATTTGGAGCGAAGCTGTCCTGGAGCTGGGGCCGCAGTGTGGGAGGGGGATGTTCTCCTGCTCACAGGGCATTTAAGGAGGCACAGTGGCAGGGCTTTGGGGTGCTCAACAAGTGTGGAGGCGGCAGCAACGCATCTGATCTTAATTAAGGGACAGGATTGGCACCAGTTGCAGGAGAAGCTAAGGAAGGGGAGGAGGCTGGAAACTGGCAATCCAAGGCAGAGCTGGTGGCATTAACACAAAGCAGATCCCAGCAGGATGTGCCACAGCAA